TACTTTATTGATTAGCAAAGCATTGCCAAGATATTCTGCTCCTTTATCACCGATTATATTGGATGTGAGGTCCAGTGTGGTGAGTGACTATACGAGAAGTGTGTGGATAATGAAGTGAGGTGAAGAGGAAGAATAACAAGTATCGTTGTTACTTGGTTGATTTTTAGAGTATTGGCAAAATCTTCTGCTCCTTTAGCACCGATTTTATTCAGTTGTAGGTTGAGTGTAGCGAGTGTCTGCATGAAAAGGATGTGTATGATGAAGTGAAGAGCAAGAAGAATAAGTATCTTTGTTACTTTGTTAATTTGTAGAGCATTAGCAAGATTTTGTGCCCCTTTAGCACCGATATCATTCCAGTAGATGTTGAATGTGGTGAGTGTCTAGGTGAAAAAGTATGTGGATGGTAAACTGGAGTAAAGAGAAAGAAGAACAAGTATTGTTGTTACTTTGTTGATTTGTAGAGCATTGGCAAGATATCCTGCTCCTTCAGCGCCGATTTCATTGCGTGCGAGTCCTAGTGTAGTGAGTGTCTGTATGAAAAGTGTGTGAATGATGACGTGAAGTGAAGAAGAGGAACAGCAAGTATTGTTGTTACTTCATTAATTTCTAGAGCGTTGGCAAGATATTCCGCTCCTGTATCACCTATTTCATTGAGTGTGAGCTCAAGTGTGGTGAGTGTCTGTGTAAAAAGTGTGTGAATGATGAAGTGAAGTGAAGAGGAAGAAGAATAAGTATCGTTGTTACTTGGTTGATTTGTAAAGCATTGGCAAGATCTTGTGCCCCTTTAGCACTGATTTTATTGTCAAAAAGGTTGAGTGTGATAAGTGTCTGGGTGAAAAGTATGTAAGAGGTGAAGTGGAGAGCACGAACAACAAGTATTGTTGTTACTTTGTTAGTTTGTAGAGCATTGGCAAGATATTTTACTCCTTCATCGCGGATTTCATTGCCTACGAGCTTAAGTGTGATTAGTGTCTGTGAGATAAGTATATGAATGATGAAGTGAAGTAAAGAGATAGAAGAACAAGTATTGTCGTTACTTTGTTAATTTGTAGAGCATTGGCAAGATCTTCTGCTCCTTTAGCACCGATTTTACTGTAGTATAGGTTGAATGTGGTGAGCATCTAGACGAAGAAGGGGAGATAAAGGCATGGTACAAATGAAGGGACAGACTAGCTGATCGATATTACATGCGGTTAGATCTGTGAAATTATTGTTGTTCTGACGGGTGTGTTGCGCATATGGATACAAGTATGAACTTTTATACGATTTTTTATGCTGCACCATATGCAATCATGTTTTGTGAAAATTCAGACTGAAAAAAAGTTACCAAGATTGAGCGAGGAATAGAAAGTTTTATCTATGTGTTGCTTTAGTTTGTGAAAGTTCTGGAAAGAATGAAATACATGTCGATTATTGAAAAGTAGTTTGTAAGCTATTTCTGGGGAAAACAACTGCCAAGTATAGTATTATGTGCGCAAATGACTATGTATTACAATGAATGGGCTGAAGCTTACTAAAGTATGATGCAGCGCTTGTTAGTATTCTGTAGGTATGACGAAAGATTATTTCTTATCGGCAGCTAGTGAACAGTTTTCTTTACACTCATTATTCAGAATTAGTATGTGTTCCACATCAGAACTCTGTTTGAGTTATGAAACTTGGTTTTATTGACGTGTATGATTTACATAAGTAAGATTATATATTGATTTCGATAGTTGTTCTGGATGCAACTATACAGTTTTGTTCATAGAGGAACATTGATTTATCAAAAGTGAAAAATAGGTTAAATAGTTTATTCCGTAATGTTAGACTCATTTTAAGAAAAAAATGAATGTATGCTAAAACGTAATATAAGAAAATAGCGCTAACGAATTATTCTTGAAATTCCATTTCGGTGGTTGAAGTTTAAGTGCTGTTAGTCAGTTATCTCTGCATCCACAGTCACCGACACTCTCAGTTACACATGGTCTTGAAGAAGTATTTTCGTAGGTATTTCTCAAGCAAATATCGAAGAGGTTATTTGTAACAAGACAAACTAGTGTATAGAAGGTTAGTTTCTATCAAAAGCTGGTTTCCATTATGAATATAGTATTTATAAAAAGTGCTTACATACAGGTAAAAATCAAATAATAATGTTTCACTTCTTTTTTTTCGTTCTTATCTAAACACTATATGCCTATATGACATCATACCTTGTTTGAAACGTGGAATATCTGAATGAAATTGAATAGAAACAAAAAAAAAGAAACTGGTTTTTCTAATTATCATAATATAAAAAGTGAAT